CTGATTCCTCTTTGCTCTCTCCTAAATACCTTATCACATTATATGCAAACTGTTGTATCCTCTATTATGTACTGGGATAGATAAAACACCCAAATAAACATTTGAATAACAGGGTGAATATAAATAAATCTCCTTCCATCTTCTCCCTTTTCATTCTGTTTTTCTGATATCCTCATTTCATGGGCTTCCAGTTGAGGTCTATACTTGGTCTCTGAGACTTTGCAATTTTCCCTGTATCTGTATCAGTGTATATCACGTCTTCATCAAAAAGTTCTTAAACAGGATAAACTTCATGGCACCCATATTATTTCTCATTCAGTAGTAAATATTTATTGACTACCTACTATGTTCCAGGCACTGTTCTGACAAAAGAGATAAAGTCTCAGTCCAATGGAGCATCAGCAGGAGATTAACAATAAGTAAATAGATAAACCAGTAAATAATATACTCAGAAGAAAAATGGAGCAGAGTCATGGAAAAGAGTGATGGGAGGGAGGCTTGGCTTGGCCTTTTACCAAACCTTAGCAAAAATAGTTACTTTTGTCTTCATATTCATTAAATGTCTAAGCCTATTTCTCCATTGGCAACAGATGTGAATGCACTGAATTTTTTAATTTTTAAAAGATGTTTATTTATTTTTGAGAGACAGTGCATGAGCAGGGGAGGGTCAGAGAGAGAGAGAAAGAGAGACACAAAATCTGAAGCAGGCTCCAGGCTCTGTCAGCTGTCCACACAGAGCCTGATGTGTGGCTTGAACTCATGACCTGTGAGATTGTGATCTGAGCTGAAGTTGGATACTCAACTGACTGAGCCACCCAGGCACCACCCCATGTGTGGATGCACTGAGATAACTGATCAACAACACCTGCTTTTGCCAACCAACTCTCAAATGGGAAGAGTAATAATGTTCACCTTATGAGGATTAAACAAGAAATGTAGTCCTTGTAAAGCACTTAATGCAGTGTCTGATACAAAAAACATACTAAATACAGGGTAGCCAGAAAAAATGGGAAGGAAGGGGGAGCCACCATTGTCAAAGTCCATCTCTTTTGCGCGAATTTTAGCTTATACTCCACGTTATTTGTGCTTTCTTCAGGCAGCTTGTAGCTTTATGAGGAATTAACCCTTGAACTGAGAAGTTGCTCCAGATAATGATCTTGGCTGAAAGTGATATGATCAACAAATGACACAGTTTAGAGAGGAATGTAGGATGAACTTGATAGTGGGCGGTATGTCTCACTTTCCTCCCTGGGTCTCCTCTTTACCCATAGGAACTCACTGGTCACCTGACATAAAGGCAAACCTGGAATTGAGGGAAGTTATAGTCCATGGGGCAACCTTGATCAATAGGCATTAGGGCCAATACATAAACCCACTTTGCTTCTGTATTTATGGAAGAAGAGGCTGCAGTGCATTCTATGGCTTCCTGGAGACTTTCCCATCCCAGGATGGAACCATAGCAATGATCAGCTGAAGGACACATCTGTCTCTTTCCATCTCTCTCTGTTTAATCTCCTGGTCCCTACCTAAGTCCTGCTCATTGGAATCAGTTTCCAAAATAATTATCTTCACAAGGCCTTCATATCAGGAAAAACTCAGACTAAGACAGTCTATTTATGTGCTGGTCTTGCCTTTTAGATTCTCTCTCTCAATATTTATATATAAATTATATATGTTCATATTCATATACATATGAAATTATTCATAGTCTCTTTGCTTTTTCATAGCTCCTACAAGTTTTTTTAATCTGAGTATAGTTGACACACATGGTACATTAGTTTCAAGTGTACAACACAGTGATTTCACAACTCTATACCATATGCTATGCTCACAAGTGTAGCTACCATCTGTCACCCTACAAAACTATTATAGGACCATTGACTATGTTCTCTCTGCTGTGCCTTTTGTCCTTGTGATTTATTCATTCTGTAACTGGAAGTCTGTGTTTCCCACTCCCCTTCACCCACTTTCCCCATACTCCCACCCCTCTCCCCTCTGGCAGCCATCAGTTTGTTGTATTTATGGGTCTGTTTCTCTGTTTGTTGGTTTATTCATTTGTTTTGTTTTACAGATTCCACATATAGGTGAAATAATACAGTATTTTTCTTTCTCTCTCTGACTTATTTCACTTAACATACTCTCTAGGTCCATCCATATTATCCCAAATGGCATGATCTCATCCTTTAAAACATATTTTTAATTTTAATTTTATTTTTGAGAGAGAGAGAGACAGAGTGTGAGTGGGAGAGGGGCAGAGAGAGAGGAAGACAAGAATCTGAAGCAGGTTCCAGGCTCTGAGCTGTCAGCACGGAGCCCGACATGGGGCTCGAACCCACAAACTGGGAAATCATGACCTGAGCTGAAGTCAAACCCTTAACTGACTGAGCCACCAGGTTCCCTAAGAAATTTTTAAGAAGAGTGGGAGAGGGTACTTATAGCAAACACATCAACTTAATGTAAAGTGGAGGCCTTTAAGAAAAATCCTGATTCAAAAGTCAACTTAAAAATATGTATGAACAATCAGAGATGTTTAAGTATTGACCGAATATTTCATAGTACCAGAGAATTACTATTAATTGTTCAGTTGTAATAACAGCATTGCTTTTATGTTATTCTTTTGAAGAGTCTTGCTGTTATGGGGTGGGGAGTGTAAGGAAAGTGGGTATATACAAAGTAACAATTGCCAATGAAGTGAGAGTTAATTTCTGGTACACAAAACACAGTAAATAAAGGGTATTTATTTAATATGCTAAGTTACATTATAGTTACCTATAGCATATGGGTAAATGGGAGTTAATTAAATTAGTCTCCTACTTTTGTATATTTTTGCTATTTTTCTTAAATAAACTTTTACAAATGCAAGAATTTTAGGAGAAATTATAAAAAATGTATTGAGCAACACTAAGATGGACATTAAGAAGACCCAAATGGAGACATAGACCATGTTTATAGTTGAAAGACTCAATATTGCGAAAATGTCAATTCTTCCTAAATTGAGTCACAGTAAGGCTCACCTCAGTGAGCTCTGCAGCACCTCACATTTGTCAGTATCCCCATGGGGATTCATGTCCCAGGCAGCAATTCCCTGCGAATCAGTCTTATCCTCTTGACTGTGAAGATCTCCATCTCAGGCAACCCAGAGAACTTCTTCACCATCCAGTTGACTGCAATCACACTCTTTCCAGTGAGTCCTGAAACCCAGCCTTGGGTTCACATTCGTTTGTTCCTTAGATAATTTCCTTTAGCCCTAGGGTCTTTGAGTTCTTTTTTGTGATCTTTTAGAAGGTAGTTCCCTATAAGTAGTTAGTAATTTAATAGTCCCTGTTCAAACTGCTGTGTGGTTTGTGTCTTCTGAGTGGACTTGACTGATACACTAGTAGAATTGAAGTTGTACATACATATAATACGTGGGACTCAGGCATCATGTGTGTGTGTATGTGTGTGTGTATGTGTGTGTGTGTGAGAGAGAGAGAGAGAGACAGAGACAGAGAACGGGAGGAACTTCCACATGTATAATAAAGTATATATACAAGAATATCCACAGCAGCGTTGTTCAGCATAATCTAAAACTGAAAACAAATCCAGTCTTCTGTCAGTAGGAGACAGACTGGTTGCAGTATGTGAGAAAAGGGAGGAGTCAAGGATATTTCCAAGATTTCCAACTTGAACAGTTGGAAGATGAGAATTGCCATTCTCTGAGATAGGAAAGTCTGTAAAAGGAGCAGTTTTCACATAAGGAGATAATCTCAGAAGCCAGTTTTATCCATATTAATTTGAGATGTCTATTAGACATTCAAATGAAGGTGTCAAGTAGGCAGTTGGATATGCAAGTCTGGATGACCAGCCTGGGTTACCACTGAAATTACACATTTGGAGGTCCTCTGCATAGAGAGGGAGTTCTTAAAGTCCTTAAAGCCAAGCAATTGACTTAATGTCACCAAATAAGTGAGCATGGTTAGGAAAGAGAAGAGGGCCAAGGACTGAGCTTTGGGACAGTCTTCTTGGATGACTATTGTCTCCTCACTCCCCCTGCTTTGGTCATGCTCACCCTCCATCCCCACCCTCAAAAGGTCATCGTTAGCATCCAGAGTGACCTTCTAAAAGCATGATTCACGTTATATGACTCTATTGCCTGAGTCTCTTCAGTTGTCTTCCTGTTGCATATAGACTAAAGTTCAAACTCCTCACCAAGAGAATCTGGTTCCTCCCCAGGCCTCCACCTTACTTGATTCTTTCCCTGATCTCTACAGACTGTTCCTTCTGCTATGTAGTGCTATTTATTCCTCAAATACATGGATTTTCCTCAGGGCATTTGTGCTAGCTCTTCCTTCAACCTAGATGAGTAACCTCATTTTCGTGAGGCTAGTGCTACCTCTTATTCAAATTTTGGCTGGCAATGCCACCTCTTCATAGAATCCCTTCCTGAACACACTCTCTGAAGTAATTGTCAACTAGTTGCTTGAACAGGTCACTCAATAGCACTTTTTCATGGCACTGATATCTGACATTATCATATTTGCATATTGTCTGTCTCCCTTATTAGAATCTCATCTCCCCCACAGCAGTGACATGGTCTTGTTTATTATTATATATTCTCAACACCTTGAACAGCAATGCTACCTGGTAGACAGTCAATAAATATTTGTTGAATAAATAAATGCATTACTTTATTGATTCTGTAGCCTTTTTAGCAGCCTTTTTAGCTTCCAAATTCAGGAGAGAACCTGGGCGGCCATTTTTTCTTTGTCCCGGCTTTATCTTTCTTCATGCCCTTTTGCTTCTTCACTAGCTCCCACGTGGTCATAAAAGCCCAACAGTGCTGTTAAAAATATTAGAAAAAATACTTTATTCCAAAGTCCTGTGAATCAGAGGATTGTGTAAAGAAGCTACTCTAATCTAAATGTCTCCACACAGTGGAATGCAGCTGGTGACTCCAAAGGGTGACTGACACGCCTCCAGAGCAGCCACGCCCTCGGAGGGCTGTGGAGAGGCCCGGTGAGGTCTGAAACTGGTCCAGTGCAGTCATGGGGGTAGCTCTGGAACAGTTCTTCATTTTTGTAGGGTTGCTGGTGTGTCTGGTGTACCTGGTGAAGTGTGTCAGATTCTCCAAATGTATTTTTCGGCACTTCTGGAAAGTTTTGCCAAGGTCTTTCTTGAAGTCAATGGGACAGTGGGCAGGTAAAGACAACTTTCCATCTCTTATTTCTTGTTGTTCCTGCTTATGATTACATATGTCTCAAAACATGAATTGCATCTTTTCCTTTTGAGAGCAAAGATATAATTCCTTTGGGTGACTTTTATTTGGGTGCCTGGAAAGCAAGAGTGAAATCTGAATTCCTTAAGAAAAAACCAGGTGTGGTGCACAAGGAGAATTAACTGGAAGAATGCCACTCAATTCTCACCTCTGTGCTTGCCCTCTCAACCTTATTAGTTGGTTTGTTCCCTTATTGGAGTTTCTGGTGATATAAATAATAAATGCTACAGAAATTTCTGCATCCTTTTCTCCAGATTTTTGAAGGCCCAGGATACTACCACACCCCTTTGTGGAAGGGTGTCTCAAAATTTGGAAATACAAATTATTTTAATTCATTTTATTTAAAACATTTTTCTGAACGCTTTTATGAGGTAAAGTTATTACAAAATCAAAGTAACAAAGATTTCTATAGGGATACATTTTCTAGATGGTTAGATATGGAATCTGGGTCTGGTTTGTGTCCCAAGTAGATTAATCACTGCCTACTAATGGGATTTACCTCCGGGAACTACCACGCAGAATTTCAGCCCCATGACTGGGTTTAAGGTGAAAAACATGAGGCATGGTTTCAGCATCTCCTTGAATGAAGTGCTAAGGTTACATGAAGAAATCCAAGAAATCTAATGACTTAAAAAAAAAAAAAAGAAGAAGAAGAAATTTAAACAGCTTTAGAAGTACCATGCTAGGCTAAATAGGAGAGATTACAAACAACATTATAAAGCTATCAGATAAAATATAGGATACTGAGTTACATTGGAATTTCAGATAAACAAGGAAGAAGTTTTTAGTATATGACATCCCAATTATTATGTGGGACATACTTATACTAAAAAATTACTTTTTGTTTACCTGAAATTTAAATTTAGCTGAGCATGCTGTATCTTTATTTGTTGAAGCTGGCAACCATACAACCTAAGCAACAGAAATAAAAAAATTACCATATGAAAATTGTTTGGAATGAAAAATAGGTTTTTAACTATTGCATGTTATATTTGAAGTGTGTGTGTGTGTGTGTGTGTGTGTGTGTGTGTGTGTGTGTGTTGGTGAACACTCCTTCACTCTTGGGGCAGTATGCTATTTCCAGAGAACTTGCTAAATAGCTTGAACTTAAGTGTGCTGGATCAAAACGTCCTGCTCCACACAGATCCCAATGCCCACGCGCTTGGCGGGTGGATGGGGGTAGGGTGGTGCTTATAACTCCACACAGTGGCTGCCCATCAGTGGAGAGCAAAGCCCTTCTGAGAATACATACTCCAAAAGGAGTCACATGGGATCAGAGACCAGAGTATTTGTTGTTTCACATAAAAAAACATAATCTTGGGGCACCTGGGTGGCTCAGCTGGTTATGCGTCCCTCAGGTCATGATCTCACGGTTTTGTGAGTTTGAGCCCCACATCAGGCTCTGCTCACTGACCCTGTGAAGCCTGCTTAGGATTCTCCCTCTCTGTCTCTTCTCTCTCTGACCCTCTCTGTCTCTTCACTGCTAGTGCTCTCTCTGTCTCTCTCAAAATAAATAAATAAACTTTAAAAAAACCCCATAATCTTAATCTGTCCTTTGAGTCAATATTGAATAGAGTTATCACTAGCAAAAGTGAAATGTCTTTGGGCATAGGCAGGTATCTGGGAGAGAAGATAGAGCAAGAGCAAGAAGGGGAGCAAGAAGAAAATCCATGACTAAAGACCAAAATTTTCAACTTTTCAAAACTCTGTGGGTGATTAGAAAATTATGTCGCTGGTGTATCTTTATAGATTTGTGGCCCCAAATTCAGAGAGGCAGGTTTCAAACCCTGTTGTCATCATTTTTAGCAAGGTGACCTTGACTGAGTTATTTTCTCTCTCTCAGCTTTCTCCTCTCTAAACTAAGGAAAACATTGGTCCTTGCATTATGAGTTTGTTTTGAATATTAAATGAGATGATGCATCTAAAACACTTGCAACAGTGCATGGCAGAAAGTAAGCCCTCACTAGAGACCAGCCATTTATTGATGTTATTATCTTAACTATGTATTGGGTGACTTTGAAGTTTCCCATAATGGTCGGGGGTGAAGGTGAGGCAGAAGATAATCCTGAGCATGGCACCTGTCCCAAGAAGAGCAGGTAATATGCATGGATTCACCTTAAAGTACCCAAGTGAGCAGATAAAACCATTTGTAGTTATGAAAATGAGCATGCTCTGCCTATGTGTTTCTGGAAGCTTGTACAGTTTAGCTAACTGTATCTTTTCTTTCCAATAAGCTAAATGTATCTTCCTTCACACTTTTGGAAAGCATACCCTTCGATTGTTGTGTCAAGGTAAATTGCAGATCTGTAAACACTGAACAGTTTGAAATTGTGACATGCACATGAGTGAGGTTTGCCCCAGAGCTTAGTCATGAAATAAGTGTAATGTTAGACATAAAAGGACTAGAAGGTCCATCTGATTGTTATATGTTAGTCGATAGGTACACTGACTATGGATTCTTCAGGTGCCTTTATGTCATTGCATCCCCTTCTTGCATTTCTGTGTTTTTCTCTTTGTTAAGTTCCTTATCTCACAGGAGCTTTGAACGCTGTTCTCCTGGCGGGGGAGGGGGGGGGCGATGGGAAGAGGGAAGAACTCAACTTTTAGGAAGAACCTTGAAATGTCCTTACAGTGATAGTTGGGTGTGTGGGTAGAGAGATAATAGGGAAAACTGTTTGGGGTCTGAGTGAAATGTTCCCTGGCTGAGGTTCTTTGTTTCGTTTTGAAGGGTGTCTTCCACAGCTTCACCAACCTCTCCAAGAAAAACAAAAGTTTCATTTTGAACGTTTAGTGAGAGGAGTCAGGGCTGGAAGTCCCAGAGTTGAGTTGAGTAGTGCTGGACAGAAAAAGGGCGCTGTTTGAAATACTGTGTCCTAGGCAGTAAGCCTGCAAAAAAAAAAAAAAAAAAAAAAAAAAAAAAAAGTAGCCGGTGAGAGAGAGCATTTTAATTCTGTCCTTTAAAACCATTTCTTCTTTTTGCAGTGATCACTGGAGCAGGAGATGGGATTGGGAAAGCTTATTCCTTTGAGGTAAGTTGTGTTCCTGGGGAATTTCCCCTTCCCTTGTGTCCCTTGTGTTGAACATCCCGTGATCAGGTGATGCTCCCGCCCCAAACTTTAGTTCTCTGGTTGTAAAAGCAATAGATATTCATTTATGAAGGAAAATATTTTCAATAAAAAGGAAAATTTAAAAATCACAATCTCACCCCCTGGATACATTTTTAGAAAACATAACGATATTCAGATGTACCAGTGTCACCTCTTAGGAGTTGTTGTAGGAGTTGTTGGGGGCATTGTTATTTTCTAGTGTAATTGTACCATAAGAATTTATATACCTTAATACAATTAAAACTATGAGGTGCTTTCCTTTTACTTATCCTTATGTTGTAGCTAGGGCATATATTGATTTTTAAAAAATTATTTGTGTAGGCAGGACATATTATCTATAACCTTAATTTCCAGAAGATTAGTGGGCATTATAAAATATTATATAAAGAGAGGGTCTGATAGGGCTGATAGTCACTGGAATATGATTAGTGTCTCTGAGTATTACCTTCCAGGCTTCTTGTTTATCTGCAGATAGATAGATATGTGGGTAGTCATACTTTTTAAAAACATACTTATAGCATATGTTGTCATCGTTGTTATGATTATTATTCTTATAAATTCCACATTTTCATTAATGAAATATTGTTTTCTGGAATTCCTATTATTTTATTTCTTCATCATGACTATTACACCGACCTCTAGAACCATGTAAAATACAATAGAAGAAACAAAGAATTATTGAAATTATGAGAATGAAAAAATCAGTAACGCCTTAAAAATATAACAAAAATCACTTCACTTACAAAAGCTACATTCAACAACAGTGCAGTACGCATGCATCTTCTGGTCCCCAAAGGCCTGTGTCATGATAGACGCCAAACCACCCTGTGTGAAATGGACAGTGCAATGAGCATCGGAGGCACTTAACAAACCTAAACCATGCCAGTTGAGAAAACTTCTAGCACTCTTTCATGTCTGTCCTCTATCTTCCGATGATCATCTCTTTGGTACTGACATTCTGCTTCAACTCTGTTTTTTTGAGCCTAAAAGGCTCTTTGTTCTTATCCTAATACAGACATAGCAACTTTCTGATGACCGGTAGTGCCCAGCACTCAGTAGATGGGTGGTCATATTTGAATGTGTAGGTTGAGGAGATGGATCAGCAGCCACTTTCCAAAGCCTTGTGTCTTCCTTAACCAAAATTCAGAAGGGAAGCTTTTCTAGTTATTTGCATTAGAACTATATCACCTTTTATGTAACTATTGCCTACTTTAGACCAGGTTTCTGGAAAGGTCCTAATCCCTCATCCAAAATATCCATGGCCTTACCTCTCAGTTTTCTAAATTGCCTTGCAATCCAGGTTCTTTCCTCAAATTCATGCTGACCTAATGTCTCAAGACTCAGACACTTTTCTTTCTACTTAAAGCAGACCATGTGAAAACTCCTTAGCCATTTGTTTCTTTACTGTTTCCAAAAGCAATGGCCTGGGGGTGAGGAGCTGTGGGTTCCTGTCCTCACTGTGGCACTAACTGTCTGAAGATTTTGGACGAGCTGCCCATACTTTCTGGGTTTTGTGTCTTTACCAGCACAAAAGATACCTCCAAAGTTCTCAATTGTTTCTGTTCCAGACTAATTCTTGCTTTGCTCTTTCTTGTAGAATCTTTTTCTTTGTTTGTTTTCTTTTCTTTTTTCTAAGGCTGTGTTAAACAATTTTCTGGGCTCCCTGCTTCTCCTTCATTCAGTCTTTTTGCCTTCCAGAGAGCCTGTTCGTGTCTTCCTGCTAAAATTCTTTGACAAGGAAAGCAGTTCAGAGTCTGAGATGCTGCAGATTGACCAGAAGGGTTAAGAGCCCAAGACATCTGTGTGTTCAAATGCTGCTTTGTATGCTTCCTGCAGAATTTCCACATCATTAAACTGCAGGTGATGGTAATCTCACTGGAGGTTCTGTAAAGGTTTAATGGGATGAGGTGGGCAAAATACTTTACCAAGAGTAAGTTCTCCAGGGTTAGCCATTATTATTATTGTATGTTTAAACTGGTCCTCCTTTCCCATATATTACTTTTTCCTTTCCTTTTCTTTCTTTTTTGAGAAGAAAACTGGATTGTACTTAGCAATACTTTTACTCTTTTTACTGTTCTTTCATTCCCCTTGGTGTTCCAAGATTCTTTCTTTGGTCATTTCCTTTCTGTTTAGAGAACTACCTTTAGCTATTATTTTAGGGTAGGTCTCTCTGTTTTCCTTTATCAGAGAATGTCTTGATTTCCCCTTCATTCCTGAGTAGAGGATTTAGGATTGATAGTCCTTTGCTTTAAGCACTCGAGAAATGTTGTGCCACTTCTTTCTTGCTTATCTGGTTTCCGGTGAGTCTGAATGTAATTTGAATTGTTTTTTCCCCCATAAATAAGGTGTTTCTCTCTCAGTGCTCTCAAGATTTTTTCCCTTGTCTTTAGTTTTCAGAAGTTTAGTTATGATGTTTCTTGGAGTGGATTTCTTCCTTCCTTTTTTCTTCCTTCCTTCCTTCCTTTCTCTCTCTCTCTCTCTTTCTAATATAATTTGGTCAACTTGGTTTCCACACAACACCCAGTGCTCATCCCAAGATTTCTTTGCATTTATCTTGCTTGAGGTTCACTCAGCCTCTTGAATTCATTCATTATTTCTTTGAATATTTTTTTCCTGCCCGGCCCTCTTCTCTTTTTATGGGACTTCGATTGCTTGGATGTTAGATTCTTATAGTCCAATGGATTTCTGAGATGCTGTTCATTTTCTTCACTGTATTTCTTTCTCTGTTGCTTAGAGTGGGTAATTTCTATTGTTTTATCTTTAAGTTCATGATTCTTTTCTTGGTTCCCTCCATTCAGCTACTGAGCCCACCTATCAAATTCTTAATTTCATTTATTTTATTTTTCAGCCCTTAAATTTCCATTTGGCTCTTCTTTATCTTCTATTCCTTTACCAAAACTTTCTCTCTTCTCATTTGTTTTAAAAGTGTTTGTAATTGCTTGTCAAAGCATCCTTACGATGGCTGCTTTAAAATCCTAGTCAGAGAATTCTAATGTCAGTGTCATCATGATGTGAGCATCTGTTGATTGTTTTCATCTCATCAAATTGAGACCTTCCTGGTTCTTGGTATGATGACTGACTTTTGAATTGTGGACATTTTTGGTATTTTGTTATGAGACTCTGAATCTTATTGAAATCTGTTTTGGGTCTGTACCAACACTGCTTCAGCAGGGGGAGGAGGGGTGTCAACCTGTAGGCCAGGCAAGGTAGAAGCCCCGCAGGATTGGCACTCGGCCTCCTCCATTGTTGGGGAGGGGTGCTACCTCCTTCTACTGCTGGGTGGGGGTGGGAGTGCTGCCTCCCCACTAGGCCACTCTGGGTGGGAGAGGCAAGAATGCCTCCTTCCTGTTCCCCAAGAGGCTGCCAATGGTAATTAGGGGAGGTGGGGGTGGTAATGAAAACCCTGACTCTCTGCCAGGCTTCCTCTCTTACTATCCTTGGGGGGAAGGGAGAGGTGAGAAGAGATGGGAGGTCTTGGCCCTGCCAGGTGGGAAGTATAAGTTCAGGTCTGTTGGCATGGGAACGGGTGGCGGCGATGAGTGTCCTGCCGCCCTACTCAGCCTTCTCTGATGCCAGGCTGGCCGGGGGAGGGGGGCCCTCAGTCCGGCAGTCTCACCAGGGTGGAAGTCTCAGCTCCCAACTCAGCCTTTGTGGGTGGGAGTGGGGGTGGGGTGGGACTACAAAATTTTTTTTTTAAAGCTGTTTGCCTACAGTAAAGCAGTTCTTTTTAAAGTTTTCAGCCTTACTAAGCTGTGTCTTTTCTGGTCCTTTGGTTAGAGAGAGCAGGCTTTTTTGGGGACTTTTTAGGTCTGCCCCTGTGGCGTTTCTGAATTGCCAATTTTTCCACCAATAAGTTTGGGATATGTGAGGCAAAAAGAAAACCCAGGAACTCACCACTGTGCTACTTCTTGGGTCTTGAGGCCCCTACGTGATCTTCTCCCTATCTTTTGGAGTCTTTTTATGTTTATTTTATGTATTATGTCCAGGTTGCATAATTTAACTGCATATCATGGTAGGGAAAAGTACTTCTCCATTTTCCTATTTTATATTGTATTTTAACCTAATCTGTATTTATATTTAGTGTGGCAAGAGACGCTTTGCCCACTGCTAAAGGAATTTCCAGCAGTACTGGAAGAAGGTGGTAGACAATTGTGTTGAGGGATGGGCAGGGGGAGGAGGGAGGTAGGAGAGGGGTCCCCTCTTCCTTGTCTCTGAGGCCATTGCTTCACTTTCTCTTCACACCAGTTTTGCTCCTTAAGCACCTGAATTTCTTTTACTCATTGCCACACAGAGGAAGCCTGTTTTCTCTGGCATTCCTACCACCTGTTTCAGATTAGCAGCAACAAGTACCTTCCCTCAGGCAGGCCCTAAAATAAAGAAGGAAACAGCACATTCTTTTCAGCAGCAGCCCTTCTTCTTTAGGACAGTGGCACAGTGCATTCTGGGAAAGGGAGGGCTTCTGTGGCTTAACTCCCTGAAGGAAAAGAGGCAAAACCCTCATATGGAGTCTGTCAGCCTGGACATTCTGGAAATAAAATTGAGCCCTGCTCAAGAGGACAAAAGGAACGATGCTGTCCCAGACAAGTAAGTGTTTTCCGTGCCTCCCCCCATCCTGGCCCAGACCACTTCACATAGAACCTTTAATATGTCTGTGGCTCTTGAGAGAAATGGCACAATTCGGAAAAGGCTGGAAGCCCACCAGGAAGCAAGCATCCTTTGTGCTGAAAATGCAAATTGTTTTCCATTTAATGGACAATCTTCTCTTCAGGAGGCTGGTGAAGTGAATTGTGAGACAAAGGCGCTTAATTCTTTGGCCACAATTCTGATGGATTCCAAGGCTCAAAATGAGGGTTGGAGGAGAGAGAGAGAGAGAGAGAGAGAGAAAATGTGTGTGTGTGTGTGTGTGTGTGTGTGTGTGTGTG